TTTGTAATAGCTGGTCTCTTTGGATTAAGCTCTAAGTCCAAAAGAAACACCCAAAATAATTTAAAAAACACCCAAAAGAATTAAAAGAATTATTTTTTGATCTAGATTCACTGGTGGGGTGATATCCAAAAGAACTGAAAGCAGAGACTCAAGCATAATATTTTTATATTAATGTTTATAGCAACTTTATTCACATTTGCCTAAGGGTAAAAATAAGCCAAATATGCATCAACCGATAAATTGATAAACAAAATACACAAATAATGGAATACTATTCAGCCTTACAATGAAAACTCCAACACAGGCTACACCATGAATGAACTTTCAAGACATTAAGCTAAGTGAAACAAACCAGTCACAGATTAAAGGATAAACACTGGCTGATTCCCCTGGCATGAGATGCTTCTAAAAGTCAGATTCATAGAAACAGAAACAAAACACTGTGTCAGGCATTAGGGGAAGATGGAACAAGGAGGTACTGTCTAATGCATTCCAAGTCTCAATTTTGCAAGATAAAAATGTCCTGGTGGGGGTGATGGCAGTGATTATTCCAATAATGCCAAGGCAACTAGTGGAATACATGCTTGAAATGTTTAAAATGCTAGATTTCGTCATTTTATCACAATTAAAAATGTCTTCTTTTAAACAGATCTTATAATCTCAGAAAGTTATTCAGAAGCTGTAAGTGCACCCCCTTAGGGTTGCCGAAGCAGTTAACTACCAACATATACGCAAATGCATAAGGGTTAGCTGCAATAAAGTGAAGGGACCCAAGACTAACTAACAGGCACAGTGCAAGCACATAAAGAATTCTCTCTGAGTGAATAAATAGCAGAAATAGAAGACAACAGAAAACAGTTAAAATAATCACAGAAAAATACTGAAATATAAAGACCAGTTCTTACTGCAAAAATTCCGTGTTTAAAAATTTATATGAAACAATACCCAAATAAAAACCCAGCTTAGGTTCAACCCAACTCCAGTGCCAACTAGCCAAAGTGCAATCAGTGTATTAACTCCTGACCACAAAGTCACCAACTTTGGTTTGATGGTTTTTTTTCTTTTTTTTACACCCACAGAAAGACACACTTTTTGTTACATTTATTTATTTTCTTTTTGGAGAAGGTACTTTTATAGAGATACACTGCTAAGAGAAGCTGCAGGCAGGACCACTGGTCGCTATCGTCACCGTCACTATCATAAAGCAAAAGATACAGCTATGACCTCACACTAACCTATCAAATAGGACATACAATTCTAGGACACATTAAAACATGACAGGCAATTCTGAGTTGCCTGTCATTCTACATGGAGCTAGAACCCTCACTCTGCAACTGGAAAAAACTCTAGTAAAACTGATATCAACAATATACAAAAATAGATAAAAGAAAATTTTCAATTAAAAAAGGGAGTATTTTAAACAAACTTTTGCATATCTTAATCTTTTATATACCCACCCTTAACAGATCCATCCTGCTACATACCCACAGCGTAGAGAAATATCAAGCACACACAATAAGCCAGTGGATATATACACACTCTCTGTCATAAAACGATTAACAAAACAAGTGGTACTTAACAGATACAGGGTATCCCTAAGACTATAATCTCAGCTAAATCCACTAAGAATTTTGTACTCTATTTTAGAAAAAAATCTTAAGGAGCAGATTAGGTGACACACACTATCAAAAATCAAAAGATATTGCTATGACAAAACAACGCTTATTAGTTAATGAGTTTCCCTGAAAATTAAATCAATTTACATGTAAACTGGGTCTCAACATGTCTGAAGATGTGTTATTGCACTGGTCACTTGCTAACTGGCTTTGTTTCATTTAATAAGCAACAGTTCAAATGGAAAGCCTATCCACCAACTGCAGTGCTAATGCATTAGGAACACAAACCTCAAGTTGTTTCTCAAATTTAAAAAATTTTTTTTACCCATTAATAGGAATATTGTTGATGAGAAATATAAGAAGTTTTCTAGTTTCAATTATGAATTATTTATCCCTTATCCCTAATCTGCCATTACCTTTTCGTACCATTATTAATTTGTAACAAAAACTAAATATATAAACAAATTTCTTTGGAAAATAACAGAGTGATTGTGAAATGCACTTAGTGTTCTTGGACGTTTCCAGGAAAAAATACTTAAGCTGAACTTTATCCACTTCCCTCCCATTCAGCGACACCTGACCAGGTAAGAGCAGTGGTAAGGGGCATAATAGTCAATGTCAAGCCAAAAGAAAGCGTAACTCTAAATAAAGCCCGCAGCGTGCCCCGCAGACAATAAAGATTCTCTCCTGTCCTGCTGCTGGGCCAACAGAGACTTCCCACCCCGCCCAACTTCACCCAGACCTCCCTCTAAGATGCTGAAGCTTTTCTCCCAGCTCAGTCGGTACCTCGATTTCCCTGCATTTTGCTGACACCCGAGTATACTGAGCACACGAAGACCCCAAAGACTTGCATCTCTGTAACAGCCTCTCCCCTGAGTCTGGGCAGAACCAGATTCTGTTGCTCTGGCAACAGAAAAGGGCAAAGGCGATGACAGGCTGTCACCCTGTGACACATGACGTGGCCCAAGACTCCAGCCAGGCAGACGTGGACAAGTCTCCTGCTGGCTCTGAAGAAGCAGGTGGCCACAAGAGAGGGTCTCTGAGGGTCACAGGATGGGCACTGGGGAGGTGCCACCTGCCAGCCAGCAAAAAGCAGGTCCCTCAGTTTGCCACGGCAAGGACTGCAACTGCCTGCCACCATGAGGCCTGGCAAGGCAACGCCAACGCAGAAGGAACACAGCACTGCCCAGCAGGTGACGTAGGCCGGAGACACCAGGAGCAAGGGACCCAGCGATGACCTGCCTAAATTTCTCACCAAGAAAACAGGGAGGTTCACACTATTGTTTTAAGCTGCTAACTGGTGAGGACTTGTTACTCAGCAAGAGAAAATGTCAGTATTCGTTGGCTGTGCATCTCAGCCACTTACCTCAGAAATGACTATTACAATGAGAGCTAGTTCTTGGAACTGTACCAAAACTTTCCCTTCCAATATGGAAATGCATTACAAACATCAACTACGCCTATCCCTCACCAGGCCATGCAGAACTGGGCTTGCAGAAGTGGATTTTCCACTGTGGACTTGCAAATTGGCTGCCATATTCTTAAATCTAGCCATCCCTCCTGAGCTCCATCTTCTACCCTTTCCCTGTGGATGCTGCAGGAAAATCTCTCTCCCCTCTGCCAAACAAGGGCCACTCTCAGAGGAAAGGCAGTCTCCAGGTTCTAGCTAACACACAGGGACGGTGCAAACAGAGCCAGAACCGGCTTTTGACTCTTACTTCCTACAGCAATGTTAGATTAGGAACAAGAACCAGTGCTGTGGCAAGGGACCAAGAAGCATGGGCAGTGGTCAAGAAAGGCACGGTACTTCACCTAAGGACACACCAAGGCACGCAGCAAGAATTGGGTGAAAGAAAACAGACACACTGTAATCAGGTGGAAGGAGATAACATAAATGTTCACAAAGAGACGTGGGCCGAATCTATCATCAATGCGCATCCCTTCTCAAAGGCCGGCTGCTCAAAACAGCTTGGCCAGACTCCGCTGAGGTCCCCCACTCCTGGCCATCGAGACCCTCTGCATCCTTACTTTGGCTTCACAGTTGTTTCAAACCCAGGAAGGGGCAGCTCTCCACAGCTGATACCAGTCTTTCATCACCAGAAAAGATGGCATCACACTGAAATGAAACTAAAAGCCTGGTCTACAGTGCCTACCACTGACTTAACCAGTCACACTCATGAGCAGCAGCAAACCCAGAACACCAGGACCAGACCCCACTGTTTCTGAGGTAGGTGAAGACCACGAGAGACCCCATCACAGTAATATTACCTACTAAGAAACTCAAATAGATTTTGAAAAATATTTATCTCCAAGCCTCTTTGGAACACAATAGGAAAAAAATCAGCATGCAAAAATAACTTCAAAACATCTGTAAGAGAGGACAATCTGTATAACTGAATGAATCACTGTATTTTGCTGAATCTAAAACATTGATTGTGAGATGCAACATTATCTTGTATACGGAAAACATTTCATTAAAGTTTGTCACAATGTTAAATGGTCAGTCATTGATTTGAAAACATTCTTACTTAAAATGTTCAAATGTCAAAGAGGTACATCTTAGAATGGATGACACTGTATACTAACGAGAGTCCCTCAGACAGTATTTCAACACAGTGAAAACACTGAATCTCTTCCACTGGCGTGTGGTCATACTCAGCAGCCCCTTTGTAAAGCGATGACTGTGGTTTCCCTTCTTGTTTGAATGAAGAGGATGACACTTGTACTGATTTCCAGCAGACACCTGGTACAAGCATTAAAACCTATTTAAATATCCCCTGATTTCACTTCTACAGTCACAGATCAGATGAGAAAAACAAGCCCCAAGTGAGTGAAGTGGCTGAACGTTCAGCCCCGAGGCCAGTCAGTAGCAGCTGAGACTTGAACAGAACCGCGAGAGCCCTGCTCCGAATCTTCATAGAAAACAGAAATTGAGACTCAGACCAATCCTTGGTCCAAAGCTATGGGCCGGCAGAGCAATTTATAAGAATCTCTGCTCGCAAAAATGTTCTTTTATGAAATGACACTCCCTAATTTCCCTGCCAGCTGCTATGGCTCACATTGATTACTAAGGGCTTAGGTCCACTGTGGCAGTCAAGTGGTCAAAAATAAATGCTTCCTTTGCACGCTGAGGGAGAAAACCATAAAATACTGCCTAGCCAGCCCCGTGCGTACACTGGCCTTACAAGATGCTGCTGTCTAGGATGATCTGTCCCTTTATAGAAGGCTCTGGAATACAAAATGTCTCAAAGGCTTTAGCCCTTACTGTCCTTGGGTAGAAATCTGAAGCCCAGAGCATGCTGACAACCCGCCAAAGCTCTGCTCTGACTGGCCCCTCACACGTGCATTCCAGAATGTCAGGGAAGACTCCACCTTCGCTGAGAGTCAGTCCCTCCTGCTCTGGCCACCTGCACTGTCACTGACGGGGCTCGCCAGGGTTCCAGGGGAGGACGCCGCTGCGGACTCCAGGGCCTTTGAATGAGGCTCCATCAAGCTACCTCCGCATGCGGCTGCCACAGAATTCCTCACTATGGCGCTCATGTCAATCACTTCAAAATCCATTTCATTCCATCTGTCTGCATCCTCTTCTTCGGGCTCCTCCTCGCAGTCATTGAGCTCAGAGCTGGACAGCAAAGCCCGCAGGTCCTCGCTCTTCCTGTGTGCTTTTCGTTGACGCTCCAGTGGGACGGTGGCTAATTTATACATCACGGGAAATAAAAGGGCCGTGGCTACGGCTGACCCCAACGAGGTGTACAAGACTACGGGCAAATGCGGGTACCGTCCCTGAAGGGATCCGATCACCCCGGGAATCGCCATTTCTCCCAAGGCCGCGCCGATCACAAAAAACGCCGCAGACTTCCCGTGGATGGTGGTGTACTGCTCAATCCAAGACACGCCGCTGGGAAACGTGGCTGCCATCGAGGCCCCGTACACGGCCGTGGCGACCCAGAGGCAGGCGGGGCTCTTGTCGAAAAGCACCAGAAAGAGCGAGGAGCCCAGGCTGCCCACGTTGCTCAGCACGATCATGGTTCCGGGCTGCAGACAGGCGGCAAAGAACACGGCCAGGCCGCGGCACGCCGCAAAGCTGCCCCAGAAGGCGGCGTTCACTCCGGCCGCTTCCCTGCTGGTCATGCCAACGTGGCTCGTGGCGAAGGAGAACACGTACGAGCCGTAGGTCACCTCGGCCCCGACATAGAAGAAGAAGAACAGGAAAAGGAGGCAGAGAAGGGTGTAGTGATACTGCGCTCTGCGGGCCCTCTGCTCAGCTGCTTTTGCCTTTTCCCTCCTGGAGCTTTTCTTACACAGCAGAGCGAAGAAGAAGACAGAAACTACCAGAATGTAGGTCCCGATGACAACGTAGGTCCACAGTAAATTCCTGTTGTCCGGCACTCCGAGCAGCGCGCCCGCGCCTGCCGCCGCCGACGCGTCGGGGCCCGAGAGCGGGGCGTCCACCTCCGTGTGGTTTTCAGCAGACGCCGCCGTGCCCAGCGCCAGTTTGGCCAGCAGCGGAGCCAGAAAGGCCCCCAAGGCAAAACTGAAGTGTAAGGCCTGCATGGGTGGGGCTCCTTTATCCCCCCAAAGAGCCAAGATCAGCACGTTACCACCTACCAACGAAAGCGGGAAAGAGGGTGAGTGGCGGTGGCATCGCGCGGTTCTCACACTCAGTCTGGGCAGTCAGTGTCCCCCAGCGCCAGACTGTGCTGCAGCCCGAGCGCAGACGTGCCACTCGCTCGTTCGGAGACCCGGGAACTCCCAGCTGCCCACCAGAGAACTCGAGCCGGCACCCCAGGCACCCATGTGGAATTCTGCCAGCCAGTCAGCCATAGCCCCTGGCCAGGCCCATTGCACACGCCTCTCAGTGCCAGGGCCAGCAGCAGGCTTTAGGGGGAAGATGCTGTAGCTTCTATAATACTGTAGAAGGTACTGTACTTACAAAGATGCTGTACCTATAAGACACTGTACTCACAAAAACACATATTAAGCAGGCCTCCCGGTGCCCTAGCGGTTCGTCTCAGCACTACCCCCGTGATGGCCCACTGCAGGGGCCGGAGTTCCACCCCTGGCCAGGGCGCTAATCCACAAATGTGCAGACCTTCCTTCCTGTCTTGACCACTGCTCCCCTCAGCGGTGTATTTCAGTGAATTCTCCTGCTCTGCTCCCCACTTCATCTTTAGTGGTGTCTCACCCCCCAACCCCCACACTTCTAGCCAACACCTCAATTCTTGAATGCAAAAATAAACAGAGTCTTAAATAATATACATATAAAGGAAGAGGCTAAGTTTATAATCACAACATGGTCCAATTACCACAGTTTCCCACACCAGAGTGCAGTCACCTTGGGAAAATGCTTCACGTACATGGCAGAGGCCACACACCCTTTCAGGAACTTGAGCTCTACCGGACTCTGCTGTGCCCATGGAGGAAGCACAGGAACCTCCAGCATCTGCACTTACACATCTGTACAGAGGAGTAGCCACTCCTGGGTTTCCGTCCTCCCTTGTTTTTAAAGCACATTAGCAGATAAACTCACAAGCTCACAATCAAAGTAACCCTAAGATACCCAACATTTCCCAACTGAGCAATAAGGAAGAGAGGGAGGAAGCCGGCTTAGGGCAGAACAAACGCCTCCTGCGGTAACAGTAGCTTTACAGCTCTCACGCAGCACGGCAAGGACTTTGCTCCTCGCGGAGGGCAGGACTGATGAGAGAAAAGGAAGGAGGGAAGCAGTGACAGCACAGGCTTCTCTCAGTTCAAAATTCGGGTGCACTTAAAACTGACAGCTGCTTCCATGCTTCCTCAGCCAAATGGCTGCAAACATGGTTGAACCTGTTACCCCAGCAAGCCTTCCTCCCTCACCACAAGGGAAATTTGAGGCCAAAACACAAGTCTGCTCACCTGCCCTGAACTCACCCACTCCCTGGCCCTTGTGTGATGTATCCTTAAGTCAACAACCTCTCAAGAACAAACCTGTTGAGCTCACTCCGTGGTCAACAGAGCCCTAATAGGCACCCGGCCTGGCAAGAAGAGAGCTGCCAGAGGGTGTTCTGATGGGGACCTCATGATCACCTCGGTAGGTGTCTCCTTAGGGGACACTGCAAAAGGCAATGTAATAGCAATGTCTGCTCTAATTTTTGTAATAGAAAGTCCCTATGACCACATATGACTACAGAGTTCACTCACCTGTATCCAGAACTCCCATTGAAACACCAAAGACAGATATCATGACGATCAGCAAGACGGCTGTCTTACAAAACGGAACGAGATAAAGGCCAGCAGTAGTGGCCAACAATGACACCCCTGAGAAGAAAGGTTAATGTCAGCTCTATGATACAATATTCAGGCAGAGCACTGTGGCTCAAGTCAGCATCAGCAAACCACCCTAAATGCAAAAGAGCTCAAAATAAAACTCAGTTATAATGAGGTGATGAGAGGGTCAGCTTCTATAAGTAGCTACATCACTGAACATGAAATGCAAGTAATTTGGATAGGAAACAAATCTTGCATTGCGAATAATCAAACTAAAATATAATATATAGTAACATTTTACATCAAAATGGCTCAAAAATTAATTTAAGAATCCTTTTAGGGGCCTCCCTGGTGACACAAAAAGTTAAGTCTCAGCACTAGTAAGCTGTCCACAGTCACTATAGCACAGGTTCTGTCCCTGGCCAGGAAGGTGACCCACCTGGCACAGCAGACCTCTCTTGTCTCACCAGTTGTACCCTCAGCTGTTTATTTCAGGCAACCCACCTGTTCTGCTCCCAGTTTTGTCTCTGGTGAATCCTCTCATCTCCCCACCCATCTGGCCTACACCCCAGATTTATTTTAAAAAGTGAATCTTTTTTTTTAAAGAACCCCTTTTTGAACATATTAGCTAAATAGAATGGTAACAAAGTGTCATCCTTTCCATCTGAGTAATGTATAAACATTTGATGTCAATTAAAAAGACATTGAGGCCCTCCCTGGTGGTGCAGCGGGTTAAAGCACTGCACTGAGAAGCTAAAGCCACTTCTGCATGAGTTCGATTCCCGCCTGCCCCAGAGGTGACCACATGGTGCGGCAGACCTCTCCTGACCCGCCCGCTGCTCCCCTCAGCAGTGTACTTCATCGATCTGCCTGTTCTGCTCCCCACTCTGTCTCTGGTGAAGCCTCTCACCGCCCCTGAGCCTCTGGCCTGTACCCCACTTCTGTATGTACAAATAAATAAATCTTAAAAAAAAAAAAATTGAAAAAATAAGAAAGGCAAAAATCAAAAATGCAATTACTATGGTAAATAAAACTGATAGTTCCTTCTGTGCTTGGCTCCTTCTAAGCACAGTATTTTGTAGTAGAAATGTATTGAATAGTTTGGGTAACTGGGAAAGAAATACAATTAATATGTTCTTTCAACATCAAGAGCAATAAATTACTCTCCCAGCAGTTTATCACCTCAAACCAGAATTTTTTAACCATGTTATTTTAAAACAAAAACAAAAACACAACAGAATAAGTTGGAAGCTTTGGCACTGTTTTATGGATCCTGGAGGCACCTGTGGTATCACTCACATGGGCCAGCAGCACCATTAGGCCTACATCAGTCACTTCGGCACCATCCTCTGCCACCTTCACCAGAGTCTTCCAGGTTCAAGGTGTTCACTCTGGTCAGTTGTTGCCCCAGGAAATCTGCCCTCACCCTTGACCAGCGGTCCTCTTTGGACAGCCAGTACGTGATCCAGGGTGACGCCTAAATTACAGTTGGGTCGGGAGAGCTCAGCATCTCCAACACACTCCAGGCTGAGCCAAATCCCCAGCGTGGCCCAGCACTCATAGCCTGTAACTGTCCAGATGAGAGCAGGCACCTACGAACCCTAACCTGTTCTGAGGACGTCTAGACACTGAATTTGTCAACACTCTGCAAGCTAGCTCCTTTTCAATTGAAAGGCACATGGCAACGTCCTTGAAAGGCACAAGGAAGCTAAAACTGGTGTTTACTTACCCAAAAGCAGAAAGTGATTCATACAGTCGAAAAGAACCCCTCCAATCACAGAGCCACTCAAATACCCAGAGGCTCGGCCCACAAAAATCAAAGAAAGACTGCTGATGTTGCGGTTCACGTTTGTTGCCAGATCCTGAAACGTGGGTCCCAAGATGGCAATACTCATTCCCTAAAATTTAAAGACAAAAGTTTTTCTTTACAATCATTAATGTCTATGTGATAGACATTTTTTTTTTCATTATAAAAATGGGAGAAGAGTATTTCAACATACCAAAGGGATACTTTCTCACTCAAATCAGGCAAAATCATCCTGATTAGTACTATCAGTATTACAGATTCCCCTTTCTGGTGTGCAAACTCCTACTGTTTTCTTTAGGTCAGACAGTAAGCTTTTCAAATGTTCTTTAACTCTTTTCTCTCTCTCTGTAATTATCTTTTCATTTGCTCAATACCATAAAAGACTATATTGTACCAACAGTGAAATATAACATTAAAATAATACTGAAGTAATCTGTATATTTGGAAGTACATTATGTGCACAAAAAAACCACAGACAATACATATTCAAATACTCAAATCAGGAAACTATTCCTCTTTTAGACCTTGTTATAAAAGACACAATGTTTACGGATTGGTGGGATCTTTCTTTAAGTGAACATATAAAACACAAAGGGAAGACAAAATATAAATGTTACTTCATCCACAGTTCTTCAAGGAAAATTCAAAGCCATCAGAAGTGTAATCAGTTAAGCCTTCTTAGAGAACAACTTTAAGAACAAAGTTTTATTCAAAGACAATTTAGTATTGGCAAACTTAGGGGTTGTAGTTAGCTCATAGAAGACAGTCCTGGGAAACCTAAAAAATGTTTCTCATTACTTTACATTCAATTATAATTGATCCCATTTGCATAACAAGCTCTAAAAGCTTGGGTGTGCTTATACCTCAAGCCTGAGCTGCACAGGACTAAGGACAGTCATGGGCACAGTGCACACAAGGGGCACATGAAAAAAGGCTGAATCCCAGTTAGAATCAAAATAGTTTCTTCCTGAAAAGCACTCACAGTAGCACTTGTCATACAGTGAGAGCTCATGGAGCTTCTACAATGATTGTCTTCTCCAAAATAGTCAAAAACTCAATTTTACTCAAGGAAGACATTAATGAACTAGAAATGCCACTCATACAGAAATCACACTCATTACTCTCCAGAATGGAAATTATCAAGAGAGGAAGGAGAAGGTTCCGGAATTAAGGGGATTGTTGCCAGCCTAGAGGGTTTGGCAGAGGGCCCTTCAGTCAGGGAGTTCATCTCAAGAGACATAGTTTTCTGAGTTTAGTTTACATAGGATTTGATCTAACAGAAGACATCCCTAATTCGACCACTTAACAAGCTGTGCTTATTTCTCACTCTGCAAAAATAAGGGTCTATTAAATTTGATCAGAGGAAGAGGAAATCTCAGAGAAGACCCCTAAATATTTGGGGGCTGTGTCCTGCGGCCACGAGAACTATACACCTGGAATACCTTTATTTCCCACCACACGTAGAACTGGATAGCTTGCGGGGGTTAGTAAATATATTAGAATTATAGATTTTGCACTTGACCAAACCTCTCAAGATTAAAATGTCCGATTTCCTAAATGGCTAAAATGAAGCTGGGGGTGGTGGAGGGTTAAGTAACGGCCCCAAAGTCAGTTTGAAAGTGGAAGAGGCGAGACTCGAACTCGGAAGGTCGCGTTCTCTCCTGCACGCCTGCTGTCGCCCTGGCCCCGGAGGATTCCAGCCCAGGCTCTCACCAGCCCCAGGAAGGCGGCGCACAGGAACACCGTGGTGAACCAGCGGAGCAAGTTGCCACTGCTCCGCCGGGGCCCCGCCACCGCCGCCGGCTCCTTCTCTGCCCGGACCCCGGGCTGGAGGAGCAGCTGCCCCGCGGCCGGGCCTCCGACCCCATCGAGCTGCCGGTCCAGGTCCAGCTTGGCGGCTCGGGAGAAGAGGTCGCGCGGCCGGTGAGCTGTCAGGCGAGCCTGGCGGACAACCACGGCCCGAGGTCCCCGCGGACGCCACCTCCCCGACTGCCCGCCCCAGTCGGAGCGAGAAGTCGAACTTTCGAAAAAGGAGGTGCCACTGGCCCGGGCCGCGCGCCCCACGCCCCGCACGCACGTACGCACGGGCCCGCGGAGGTCACGTGACGGAAATGTGGCCTCTTGCCAACCTTAACCTCATCGGACCGGAAGTTGATGGGGTTGCCTAGGAGACCGGTCCTCGCTCTTCCTCTCCATCAACGCTTAGTTAAGCTCACAGATGCCTGGCCGGCGAGCGCCCCATAGCGGAGAAAACTGGAGCTGCAGTCGCGGGGCGGACGACTAGGTCAGGGGGAGCCAAAGGGTTAGGAGAGGGGGCCCAGAGTGCAACTTAGAACCTAATGCTGCTTGGTGGGTTCCTGGGGACCTAAGGATGCCCGAAGGTCTGTCTGTGTCTTACACAGCTCTGAAAGTCCTGCTTTCGCTGTTTGGAGACTTGTCATTCACCTGTCACTCCACAAACATTTGTTGAACCTCACTTGTAAAGTAAGCTTTCACGTATGTTACTTCTATTAGTCTTCATTTTACAGACAAGGGGATTCAGTCATGGAGTAACAACGGCCCGACGTCGAAGGTGGCTGTGCACAAACAGAGTAACTGTAGCTCAAGAAAGAAACCTAGAATCAAAGCCATGGTTTCTTTGCAAATGCTCCCACCTTATTGGAGTTGAGCAGGGCACTGACTTGCAGAATCATCGATTTAGTCTGCGAAGAGGAAAAGACCTTACCTTCTTTATCCAAATCCAGCTGCTTCTTTCCTTTGCTCTTTGACCAAACACACAATCTAAAAATGTGTAAATATTTTTCTTCATTGTCTACCTGAAATGTTTTTCTCCCCCACCTGATGACTCTCCTCTACTGAGCTTCCCAGACAAAAAAAACCTGCGTCACATCATTTCCTTATAACCCATCTCTCTAGCCCCTATCATATTTGGCCCTTCCAAGTATTTTCTATCTGATTCCTACTCTCCATTCCCACTCTTTCTTTTCCTTTCTTTCTTGCTTAGCCTGTTCTAAAGCCTTCTTACCGATATCCAAACCTATTGTCTTGAAACTTTGAGTGGGGGTCGGTGGAATGGAAGGGAGGTGATGGATATCAGGACCATTAAAAACGAGGGGCATATATCCTTGAAACAGCATATGTAAATTGATTATTGACAATAGGTACAATAAAAGTAAAAATGAGTTGAGAAAAGATTATGGGAAAATGTGGAAAGGAGGAACCAGTTCCACTGGGAGAGCAGATGTTGTATTGTCTTAGTGGGTTGAATGCAGGTAAAACTTACCATCGAAACAAGGTTACTTCTAGGAAGAAGCAACTGTTAGTGTGACTATACAGAGAGATCACAGGATATGGAATGTTGTAAGTTAGGCTATACTAAAGTGGGAAGACAGTGGGCACAAAAAAAGATGTAATCCCTACTATAGGATGATTGGAGAGCTTGATATTGAAGATGTTATTGAAGAAAAATTTTAGAATTTAGTAATGTGGTATTTAAGCACAATGAAGGAAAATCAAATACAATGAAGGAAAATCAAATTTATGATTTTAGGGAGCCTATTTCACTATTTTAGATGGAGAGTTGGAGAAGGCCTCTGAGAAAATTTTGATGTAGTTGAAATATCAGGTTTATATATTAAAGAGGATAAAAGTCTATGGGAGAGGTAGGTTAGGTTCAAATTGTAAAGGGCTTTGTGTGCTATACAAAAGAGTTTGGACTCTTTACCAACACACTTTTACTGGCATTCTGAGATTTTAATAAAATCAAAAGTATTTTCTAAAAATATCAAAGTTCACCTTTATACCTAAAACTGAACTTATCTTTTCCCCCAATAAATCTTCATAGAGGGCCCTCCCTGGTGCCGCAGCAGGTTAAAGCATAGCACTGAGAATCTAAAGCCGCTTCCGCATGAGTTCGATCCCCGCCTGCCCCGGAGGTGACCACATGGCATGGCAGACCTCTCCTGACATGCCCACTGCTCCCCTCAGCAGTGTACTTCGTCGATCTGCCTGTTCTGCTCCCCACTCTGTCCCTGGTGAAGCCTCTCGCCGCTCCTGCACCTCTGGCCTATACCCCACTTCTGTATGCACAAATAAATAAATCTTTAAAAAAAAATCTTCATAGAGATAGTATTTAAAACTATGTAACTGGATGAAATAATCTAACTTATAAGTTTAGACAGAAGATCAAGGACTGACCCCTGATAGTTTCTCACATGCAAAATAGGGAAGAAGAAGAAGGTGTCTCCCATGCAAAGGAAAATCATCATTGTGTGGTTTTAGAGGGTTAAGTAAACAACAATTCAAGAAGACATGTATGATCTCCCTTAGAGATCCCACACTATGTTTATAGAACCACATATCAGTTTCTGATAAATTATGCAACTCCCCTCAGCTTCACTCCCCAAATGCACTCACCAGTCTCTGAGCTGCCTTGCATTTCTAATCTTGAGGAAAGCAGTAAGCAATTTAATCTGTTCAAAATAATTTGCTAGTCTCTTTTTTGTCCCAATAATAAAAAGCAACTTGAAATTGGTATAATATTAGAAATATAGTTATGCCCTCCTCTCCAGATTAGGGCTAACCTTGAAAGCGTTATTTTAAATAGCTTCTTCTTCTTCCCTATTTTGCATGTGAGAAAAAAAAAGTTAGCCTAAATGCTGTATTTTAATAATTCCTTAACAAAATTATTACATCCCAAACTAGAATATAAAGAGTTGCTACACAGTTCCATTGTAGACATCTAGAAGGAATTAAGATTAAACCTAGATCACTGATTTATTAGAGCCCAAAGTAATCAAGGTAAATAAATTGTTCAATTTTTTTCAGTGTTGAGCCAGAAAAAGCTGGGGGGTTTGCATAGAGAAGCCAGGGCAGAGAAAACCAAGCATTATATACAGCAGACTCCTTGATGGGGTCGGGACACAAGTGATATTGGAGTTGGGAGTGGGTAGGGAAACCACATGAAGAGGGGCTCAGTGAAGGGAACTGTCATGCACACACACAAAGAAGACGTGGTATATATAAACCGTGGAATACTACTCAGTGATCAAAAACATAAACTCGTGCTACTTTTGGCAACATGGATTGAGTTGTAAAGGATTACACTTAAAAATAAGAGTTCCAAAGGTGGGGACTATGGGTTTTAAATAATGAGTTGACCAATTGGACACAGAAGAAAGTTCTTTCAGAGCAATAGATAAGTCTAGAAAGGTATTTGGGAGCCAGATTATGAAGCCCAAACTGAAGACTTCATCATTTGATTTTAGGAAGCTATTAAAGATTGTTGTGCAATAAGAGTATCGTGATGAAATCTGAGGATGAAAACATTAACGAGTAGTGGCCAGTTGAGATGGAGCAGGAAGAAACTAAAGAAATGGAAATAACTTGGTTTATTACATAATTTAGGAAAGAGATGATTTCGTTGGCAGCAGGGTGACTTGGTGAAAATGGAAGGGATATGGACATGGAGGGACAAATCCTCTGACCTTACTTCATTGTCTGTTTTTTACCTACACGCCTAGTGGTGGTTCCAGAATTTTTACATAAGATGACCAGGTAGCTATCTGAATGGAAGCTGGGAAGATTTATAGTACAAGTATTCACCATAAACTATTTTAGCTTCATTCAGAGGTGCTAGGAGTAAAGAACTACTCTATGAACACTTAATCCATGCCAGGACTTTTGAGATTTTAAATTTACTAAGTCATTCCCATATATCACCCAGACCACACCTTGGTACTACTCTTGATATAAAATGAAAATTTTTGGCCTTAAGAACTTAGCAAAGCCCTGCCTGGTGGTGCAACAGGTTAGGATGTAGAACTGCAAGACAGCACAGCTGCTTCAGTGAGAGTTCGATCACTGACGGGGAGGTGATCCACATGGCGAGGCAGACCTCTCCTGACCCGTCCGTTGCTCCCCTCGGCAGTGTACTTCGCAGTGTACTTCGTAGGATCTGCCTGTTCTTTCCCCCCGGCCCCCCGTGGTGAATCCTCTCACCAACCCTGCACCTCTGGCTTGTACCCCAGTCCTGTATGCATAAATAATCTTTAAGAATTTAGTGAATCTTGTTTTCAGTCTGCTTCAAAGAAAGAAATCATTTACAGTGCAAAGAATTGACTCAACTCAACTTAATGAGGAAGGTTGGCAAAGGTCAGATTATTTATCCATTTTCGAGACAGAAATGCTTCTTTCAAAAAAAGTTTTATTTTTAATTTAAAAGGACAGGGTTATTAGGAAAAGGAGGCATCTGTATAGTCACAGGTGGGCAGGAGAGCTATGTTTTATTTTTAATTATTATATTGAGGCAATACTGGCTAACAACACTGTGTGTATTTTAGGGTTATAGTTTCACATCTCCTTAAATGTATGTTATCACACCTACCATCAAAATATTCATAATCCTCCACCATGGTTGAATGAGTTGCAACCCCTTTGCTCCTTATCCTAACTCTTCCCCTCTGGCAATTTCAATATTGCAATCGGATTTCTAGGGTTTGTTTTGTCTCATTCTTGTCAGTGCTTTGTGTTTTTAAAGATTTGTTTATTTAGGCATACAGAACTGGGGTTCAGGCCAGAGGTGCAGGTGTGGCAAGTAGCTTCACCGGAGAGTGGGGAGCAGAACAGGCAGATGGAGGAAGTACAATGCTGAGGGGAGCAGCGGGCGAGACAGAAGAGGTCTGCCCTGCCATGTGGAGCTCCTCCTGGGCAGGGAATCACTCTCATTGAAACAGCTGTAGCTAGTTTGCAGTGCTGCATCCTAACCCCTTGTGCCACCAGGAAGGGCCCTGTTTTGTGTGTTTTTTTACATATAGGAGTGAAATAATCTGGTGTTTTGTCTTTCTTCTGATTTTTTTTTCCAGTTCATGCATGTTGTGGCAAATGGCAAGATTTCATCTTTTTCCTAATAGTGAGCAGCATTTCTACACACATCATATATTCTTAATTCACTGCTCTGTTGCAGGCACTTATGCTGTTTCCCTAAGTGGCTATTGTAAATAGTGCTGCAATGAACATATGATTGTATATGTCTTCTCAAATTAGTGTTTTATATTCTTCAGAAAGATATCTAGAAGTGGAACATTGGATCTATTTTTAGTGTTTTGAGAAACCTCCATAACATTTTCCATAGAGGCTGAACCAGTTAACTGACATTCCCACCAACAGCATATGGAGGCTCCTCTGTCTCCAGGACCCGCCAACACTTGTTTCTGGTCTTTCTGATATGGGTGATTCTCACGTATCAGGTGGTAATTCACTGTGGTTTGGGTTTGCATTTCCCTGATAAGTGACGATGAGCATTTTATGTGTTTCTTCAAAGTTTATATGTCTTCTTTGGAGAAGTGTATATTTAGTTTTTCTGTCCATTTTTAATTGTTTTACGGGTTCTTTTTTGTTTGTTCGTTTGTTTGGTTTTTTTGCTGAGTTGCATTAGTTTTTTTGTAGCTCTTGGCTATAGTGTATGATGTGCAAGAAAGAATGCCTCTTGTCTATTTTCTCACTTAGTAGACCTAATGGAAGCCTAGCAAAAGGGAGCTAAAATAGTTAAAATTACAGGAATGAATCAAACTGAATATTAAGCAGAGGGGCCTAGAGAAGAACAGGAGGTGGAATGAAAGTCAAAACAAGAAGTGTAGGAAAGCACAAGAGTGAGGCGTTGATCCAAGATCATGGGTCTAGCATGTCAATTAGCTTGTTATAAGACTAAACATACCTGGCTTATGTTAGTTACAGGAAGAGTCATACTATTATGTTCCTGTCAAATAAGGAACATAGTTATATATTCTAAAGAATTACTCAATAACACTTTGTTGATCTTGACTAGGTTTCCAACTGTTCCTTGGCTTCTTGGCCAATAATTTTATAAGTACACAAAAATATTTCCTATGGATTAAATTGTGTCTTCCTCTCAAAGGTAGGTCCTTAGGGAGTTAATTAGATTTAGATGAGGTCAAGATGGCAGGACTCCCATGGGGAATTTTGTCTGTCACTGTCTTTTTCTCCTCTTCCTCCTCCCCTAGTTTTCTCCTATAAAAATGAAAACTTAAATTTAAAAAATAATCAGCATAAAAAGACAAATAAAATTGGGGAATTTTTAGCATAAACAGTAACATAAATTACTATATGGAGAGAGTTGGTAAACCAATAGGGAAAAGATAACACACCCCAATAGAAAAAGACAAAGGACAAGAACAATCCCAAAAGAAGAAATGCAAATGGTTGAGAAACTTATGAAAAATTTTATACTAACTAGTATTAAAAACACAAGTTAGACAAATATTGGATGATTCCACTATTAGTACCTAAAGTAGTCAAATTCAAAGATACCACTCACTTATCCAACAAGTAAGTTTTGAGCAGTACTATATGCCAGGAATTTTGTATTACAAGTATTAGTGATAAAACTGCGCACACACAAACACACACACACACACACACACACACACACACACACCCCTACTGGTGTCAAGTGCACTGTGGTGCAGTCTAATTGGAAAGCCAGAAGATAACTCAGGCAAATATATATTGCGTCCTGGTGATAACAGCTGGCTAAGGAGAAAAATATTAACAATTAGTTGGAAGGAGAGTTTAAAGCATGGGGGTCAGGGAGTTAAGTTTTAAACAGTTAAGGAAAGCTTCACAGAAAAGCAGAGTGTTGAGTCCAGAAAATGTGGGAGAGCAGCTCCAGCAGCGTGAGTCGGGGGGAGTAGGAGACAAGGCCAGAGATGTACCTGGTACCAGTAACATGAGATTGTTTTTGCTTTAATTCCAGCTGATCATCCCCTGAAAAGGTTAGTGAGCAGGAGGTACTAGCTGAATTTACTAAGTTTAACCCATGTCAGCAAAACTAAGTCAACGAAAAGGAAGTTATTTCAGGCCATCTAGTGCTTTTCAGCCATTTCTGTCCCTGCTTTTTGCCCCAGAGAAATGATAGCTACTCAACATTAGGAAAGAAATATGCAGCTGAGCAAGCACACAACTTATTTCTCTTCAACACAAACTGTTTTCTTCACCTCAGGAATTTTTCCTTCCTTCATCTCCCCAGAGAATTCCATAAACACAGTCACAAAGCCTTATAAAAATTTGCTGAAATGTTTTTCTTTTATTTACTGAGAATATCACATTGTAAATAATCTTATCCTCCAAATGATTACAAAGTTCATTATAAAGGTTTTGGTTACCTATAAACTGCACATTATAAAAAATCAATTATAAATTATATCCTTTAAAAAGAAACATACAATTTTTAAAAAGGCAAGTACTAAAATTCTGCAAACTTATCAAATTCAGCACAATCATTTCACATAATGATCTATATTTAAACAACAATTATGCCAAAAATAGCATCCTATGTAGGTAGAAAAGCCAGGCTACGCTGCAGAGTGCAGCAAGCATTTGGAATGATTTGGTTCTGAGGTCTAAAATAAAGTATGTTTTTAATTTTAAATATATGCAAAATAATTAAAAAATTATTAATTAAATAAACATTAAAATAAGTTGACATGAAAAATGTCATATTATACTAGGATATACTTATAATATCCACACACTCTCTCTTAATAATACTGCAGAGTTCAATTTGTTGTAACTAAAATGTCTGGCTAATAATAGGTGAACAAAATAACAAAATGCAAATTTATCCAGCATTGTGCAGTGTCTTTACAAGCTTATATTTCTCAAACCAAAATATATTAATTTGCATTAGAAGTTATTATTAAAAAGATATTTACTCACCATACTGTAACTTCTGATTAACAAGTCCCTTCCACATCTAATTCATGTTAACAGTAGAAAGGAGTTATCATTAGTCAACAGAGCATCCAGTACACTACAGTTGATCCCAAATTTCTTCCTAATTAAGAAATTTATGTTTATAAAATCCTCATAAAATAGCGTTAAAGCAAAAATTATAGAAGACAGCAGTTAATGATGTGTGGTTCCTACTTCATCTGAATCCTACTTACCGGAGCTCAGAGCCACATGGTGATACTAAGAGCCTTTGATAAATCATAGGTCTGAGATTTGCTGTCCCAGATCTAGATGTAATCCTTACTAATTTAAGTCTTTATGCTAAATCTGAAAGCTATGCACTCATATTTCTAGTGGTATTTTTTTTAATGTAATTCATTACTTAGGCTTTAAGATTGATGACTTCTCAGACTTCAATTTTATTCAAAAAATAGTTTAACATATCTACTTAAATAAGCTCAATAAAAACTATTTTGTATAAATTACAATAAAATATACATTTTTTTCACATTCCTGCAGTTACAGAATGCTTTGAATAGCTAACTTTGTGCTAGAGGACATTAATAAGGAAGTCTTTTATTATTAAATTGAGATACTGTTTGACATGTAACATCATATGAAACTTTTTCCTTAAAGTTACCTTGGGGAGCTATGTTCATTACCACCTTTTTATTTGTAATTATTTTCCTGTAAGTTTTGTATTTTTAATGTCTTACATATTAACAAAAATTACATCCAAGTAGGAATTTGAGCTGTTATTTTATAGGTAAGGTTTTTTTCCCTCAAATGTATATATAAAATATGACATTCATAATACTGCTATATCTGTATATTTCCTATTGTGTTATATCTATTTAAAGAGGAAAAAATATGAAATGAAATTTAGCACCAATTTTGACCTAATTTTTCTTTGGTAGGAAAAAAAAGGCACCAAATACATAGTCTGCTCATAGCCTAGAGTCAAAATAGAGCACTTTTATTAACAAATCCTCAGTCCCTGAATATATATTCCAATATAGATGAATAGTGAAAGATATTTTGATCCATTACTTTTCAGCACATTAGAACACACTTAGAAAACTACATTTAGGGAAGATCACATTTGAAAAGGTTTATGTGTTTATGCACACTTAAATATTTAAGCAACTGACTCTTCTAATAATGGACAAATAATAAAGAGTGGTATCTGGTAAAGAATAAAAGTCATATCAGAGGCTCTAAAATAGCATCATTTAATTTGATTTCTAAATAGTATTTTATATTGACAGTGCTTATCACATACATGTTTAATAACTTTCAATGCCAACTCTTCTTATAGCATTCATATTGCAAGCCTAGGACCAGTGAGATTGGGACTTATGGGTTAACTCCTACTCTACTGTCACACTACTCCAGGACAATGTTTACAAAACCCTAGTGAGACCAAAATTGCTATGGTCCCTGTTCCATTAGGAAAGTCATGGAAATTAAACACATAAACTGAAAGATTAAGGCAAAAACATACAATCTAGTGTCAGTGATCATCCATCTTCATCAAATACAAATGAAAATAAGACCTTACTATTGAGTTGCCAGGATAATTTGAAAAGCCACTCAGTGAAGCGTTTTAATAAGTGTTCATCATTATATGTAAATGACTATTGCTTCCATTTTTTGCCTTTTTCAGATTATTCATAGGATACATTAATGTTCTTTGTCCTTTTTATACCTACTTATAAAAACAAAATATTTAAAGAAGTTTTACTGATATTTGACCTGTTTCCAACTTGAACCCCCTTTTGTTTTAATCCCAGAATCACCATTAGCTGTTCTGATAAGCTGTGCATTTAGTTGGACACTGAAAGCTGAGGTAGGCAGACTGTCATGATTAAGTAACATTATCAAGTACTTAGGAAGTTTTTATTTCATTTCCAATGTTTCTCCAGTTTACTAATACAACTATTGAAGTCTTCCATTCATAAATAAGGCAGCCTACTATATTCTTCTGTATCTGGGAAGTAGTATCCTGAGGATTTCCTTGAATGTATAAGGTCAAATGATTAATGTGTACTATTTTAAAACTTAAAAAGGACAAGTAGAATGAACTGCTATGTTTCAGATTTCAAGGTTTCATTGAGTGACTCAAAGATGTGGCAATCAGGTGATTTCATGGATCTTTGTTGTCTCAGAAGAATCAGCTGACCAAGTCGACTTTTATGGTAGCTTAATAATTGTAGTGCTAAGTTGTATACTGGTTTTACATTTAGCTTTGGGCATTTGGCTCTTTGTTTTTGAGAACAATAACCCTCCACTCTATTGTGTAATTATAAGACAAAAGATTAACCTCTGCCAGCAAATAAAATAGTAAACATGGCCCTGGCTATGGAGCAATAGCCCCAGTCCATTCTCAAAATCAGCTCTAAAAGGTGTAGTTCCCTGGCACCAAATCATCAACAAAATCAGTTAAGTATGACCAAGTTAATAATTAAGTCAGTAAAGCCTTCTATGCTGTATTCTTCTTCCACAACACCAGATCACCATTATCCATGGCAAATTGCTCTTTTGTTTCATTAATAAGGCAAAAGGTTTGTATTTTTTACAAAAATACAATTACTCATAGTTAATTATAACAATTATGGATGGTATATTTTTCTATTAGCTCAGATACCATTTGTCTTTCTAACTAAAAATGTAAGCAGTAATAAGAAAGTAATCAAATTTCCCTTCCTCCTAACACACTGGAAAATGCAAGTCTTTAATGTTAAAATTATTTTTTAATGTTTATGTTAGTAACAATGTGTTGTCAGTGTTAAATGCTTTTTGAAGAATTTTAAGTACTTCCATACATTGTTTATGCATTAAAAAATTGGAGCTAATTATGCACTGCCACTTATAGGTCTAACCCTGGAACTTACTCCAGTGACTTTCACCATAGAGTGTAATCTTGCCAAGTCTGCAGGACCACCACATTCCAAGGTGCCTCCCACGACTACATTGGCACGACTAATGGGACACAAAAATCAAAGTAGAAAATATTTATGCTAAGAACCTGGCAATCTTTTCTCTCAAAGCAGTTGCCTATACAAAACTTATATTTAAATAAAAATTTCAGATGTTAGCATAAAGTGATGCCAGTTACACAAAATGTCCCTCCCTCTCCCCTTCCCCTGCAATGTTTAATCACTTAATTTAAAGAAATTAAGTGATTAAAAATAGAACTCTTAGGTTGAATTAAGAATTGTTTAAGAATTTGCTTGAGAGCAAACCATTCTCCAGGTTACACAGAACTGGATGGGGTTCCATGCTCTGAAATGATAGGGAAAAGCAAGTAGTGTGAACCAAGTAGTAGAACTAAGCAAGGATGTTAGTGACCTCTTAAGCCAGTTTTTGAAGTAATGGGGGGTGGGGTGGGGAATGAAAGAATGATAAAGGAAAAAAATGATATGAAATGAGTAAGAAAAAAGAGGCACATGAAAGCGGGCCACTCCTCAGAGCTGTCAATGTTATGTGATCTCATTCCACATTCTCTACTGAGTTTTCTACTGATTTAACACTAAGTCACCCAGACATACAGGAGTTTACAAATAACAAAGGTACAAACTGAAATATTCTTAAGTACAATTTAGAAGAATTAGAATTACCAGAAATAAACATCGTTTACAACTAAGTTTACATTTAATTTAAAAGTGCGGGGTGGGGTGGGGAGGGTTTGAAGCTACTGGTATTAAAGATCCTTCCATATTTGAGCACAGCCCATGAGACAGACTGCAAACACATATAAACAGATAATATATGTAAATGAACTGTAAATGAAGTCTTGTTTCTATGAATAGAATTGAAACTTGATGCAAGCTCTATGCAAAATTTGGTGAAAATGACAAGTTTTGTAGTGAGGTTATGGAGTAAACTTTGCAGCTACAGTCAAAGAGATCAAAGAGATTCACAAGTTTTAAATAAAGTTAACAATGATCTGGGGAATCTCACAACAACATCCACAGCAGTAAAACGGAACCAAAATGTCGCTGTAAGATCCCCAGGCATCTGTTTACAATAGTATCTGGTCCAGTTTCTGTAAAGAGGAGGAATCGTTCCTATTATGGTATTGTTAGCCTCAAATGACAAAGTTTAGAACCTGAGAATCTGTAGTGTCGTATAAAAATTAGAATGATGAAACAGAAAACAAGAGTTCTAACTCTATTCTTTTTCCACTCAAAAAAGCATCTAGATGGAACAACAACAAAAACGTTTAGGCCCATTAGGTCATTTTATTGCAACAGAAAATTAGAAAGAATTTACTTTGAAAGAGTAAAGTAATATTTCCTGGTCTAAACCAAATTTTTATGAATGTTAGTGTTTTTCATTTTAGGTCACTTTATTGCAACAGAAAATTAGAAAGAATTTACTTTGAAAGAGTAAAGTAATATTTCCTGATCTAAACCAAATTTTTATGAATGTTAGTGTTTTTCATTTTCTTAGCTTATATGTGCACTTTATGGAATTTAGAATTTTATACTTTTCTTTTTAACTTTATATTACTACAGCAGAATATATTCTCTAAGAATCTACAATAGTGTAGCTTTTTTCCATGTTATAGATCCTGTTTGATTCCTACCATGAGACTGAAAACTACATGTGTATAACACAAACGCAATCTCCTGACATCTAAATTGTATGATAAATACTTAAGTCACTTTGCTCTTTTAATATGGAAACTAACCAGTAAGAGTAAGTTTTGAGTTTCAGGTTATTATCCCTTTTCCCTAAAGCCAACCAAATTTTGAAAGGACAAACATTTTAAAGGTCTTTACAGAATAAAGTTAGAACTATTCTTTCTGTAAAAGTGGGGCAGTCTTTAAAAGTTTGTACTAAGACTAAAATAAAACTGGTCATGAATATATGAAGAGCCTGATAATGTATTCCATTAAGTTCATGCCCGGTTATATAAAAATGGTTTCCTCATTATTTTCAGTACTTTTGAGATTACAAAAATATACCACTAAGACCAATCATCAAACATGCTACTGTAAAATATTTTCTTCATAAATACAAAGATTTGCTAACCCCACCCCCACCCCTATTTGTGTCTGAAACTGCAACTTGATAACATGCTCAGTAAGATACTGTTTAAAAAATCCTAATGCTATCAAATTCAGATATCAGACAAATTCCAAGTTCAATTTGCCAGGATATCATTCATTCTATTTTACTTTATTGTTAGAATCTAAGTGAATGTAAAAATTTGGGACATTCTGGCTTCTTGAGTAAAACACACTGCAAACCCAGAGGGAACAAACATAAAAGGGAGGCTACTTTTTTGTCTCACTAATCAAATATGAATACATTGTTAGCATCTGTTCCAAAAAGGCTCCTTGACAATGGAGCAAATGAAAACAACTTAATTTCATAGCTTATTTAACAACAGGAAATCAACTTTATATAGACTTGAGATTTAGGTAGATCTGATGTTATACGGAATCCAAGTTTAAATTTTATAAAATGCTTCCAAACAGCTGAAGAAGCAGATATCAGAACTAAGAACACCATGTGAGACTACAAACAGTATTTCCAGTCCCAACCAAACCACAGCTCTTTCAGGATAGCTTGAGGTATATTTAAATATTTGTACAAGCTAAATAGCATTCACAGTTTCCAAAGTTGCTTTTTACTAAGATAGCTTCAAGTTCTCACAATATTTGACTTCCAGACATTTTTTCATATACCAGAGATTCTGCCTTCAGAAATATGGAAATATCAGACAGCTATTCAGTGGCAGAAAAATGGTTCTTGCAGAAATACAAGTTCTATTTCCCAATTATTGTGCTATTCCTAGGATGTGATTAAAAAAATAGGAAATTTGCAATTCATATAAAAAGATAACTTGCTTAAACTGCTGAAGCAAGTCCAGTCTGGTGGAGGTATATGAGACATTAAATAACAGAATCAGATTCTTTCTTAAAGATTCCAGATGAATTCAACAGCAGAGAGTTCTGGTTCTCCAACATTTTCTCCATCTTTTCTCCTCCTGTGGTTTGACTGATATCTCTTTGCTTCTTACTATGTATCCATGGGACTAAACAAAGGATAGCACCTCCAACCAGGGGTGGGATTCCAGCGAGGTAGAACGCCACATCGTAGGAGCCGAGCTTGTCACGAAGTAACCCTGGGAAGGGAAAAAAGTTGTCATCAATAGAGAACATGTGTGGCCCTTGTGTGTGTGTGTGGGTGGGGGGTGGTCTCCAATCGGTGACAGCGATGGCCTGGACCCTAATGACTGCTTAGCAGGACATGCTCAAACAGCATCTTGATATTTTTAGGGAACAGTTCTGAAAGGGTGGCCCCTTTCTAATAAAAAGAAGGAATAGATCTCCAATCTTGTCATAATGTACAGATCTTGGAAAATGATATCTGCAACTAAGCCTTTACTTTCCTAAAATCCTTAGAGTCAATTTGGGGGTATTCTAACACCTAGTATAAAGGTCTTCAGTTTCAGCTGCAGGCATATACCAACCTGAAACTAGTAACATACATACCTCAAGATGTATACATTTAAAAACATTTCTTGACTCTATTTGTGTATGGAATAACATGAAACTGTTTAACTTTATCATCCAAAACTATGAAAAATGATAAACTAAGTTAGGGTAGAAAAGTTGCTAAATACATTTTCAAAAGCTACTAAAGTTTGTCAGCACATGAATATAGCTGTGGGCACCCTTAACAGGTCCTTGGGCTCTGCCTCTGAAAACTGTTATTTGGAGTACTCCTTATTTCTGACTTCTCTTAAAAGACTCAAGTTATTAAAGTTATCTTAATTTGCTTTAAGCTTTTGTAACTTTTCCTATACAACCTCAGTTAACTGAAATATCCAAGAACACGTTGTACTGAGTGTTGGCCACTACTAAATAAAGGTTGAGGGTCTGTCTATGGTTAAGTACTAACACATATGAAAAATATGTACATTCATTCCATATAGAAATAAAAAACATAAAGTATCTGTGTATAATTTTCCTCTCCTGAACCAGTAGAATTTGGTTCCCTATTATCGGTAAATACTTTTATTCTTAAGAATACTAATGATTGCCCTCCCTGGTGGTGTAGGGGGTTAAAGCACAGCACTAAGAAGCTTAAGCCACTTCCACATGAGTTCGATCCCCGCCTGCCCCGAGGAGATCCACATGGCGCGGCAGACCTCTCCTGACCCGCCCGCTGCTCCCCTCAGCAGTGTACTTCGTCCATCTGCCTGTTCTGCTCCCCACTCTGTCCCTGGTGAATCCTCTCACCCTCTGCGTCTCTGGCCTGTACCCCAGTTCAATATGAATAAATAAATAAATCTTTAAAAAAAAAAGAATACTAATGATTACGTTTGTCTCAGAAACTCCTGATTAGATGGGGGCTTCCTTCTGCCAGTGGCTGTGTTTTTCTGCCTATTTTGGAAATTTTACCTCATTTATTCTTGGTCAGTTATCAGTTACTACTACCATACACCATTCCTAGTAAACTGCATTTGTAATCTGCGGTAGACTGGGAACACTGAAAAATTAAGTCTGTGAAAAGACTTACTTTCCTATTTCCTGTGGATCCATGGGACTAAACAAAAGATAGCACCTCAAACCAGGGGTGGGATGCTAGCAAGTCTACAGTGTATTATCTAGAGGAGAGGGAAGCATGAATGCAGGGTTCTCTGACATTGATTCCTGATTAGGTTCCCAACTGGCAAGTTGCTAGTTATCAGTGGTTCTGGAAATGAGAATGACTTGAGTGGGATTTTCACTGAGCCCCTCATGTGTCATGCATGGGTGACAGTGCATGCATTTAAACTTTGTCATAATTTTAGCAAATCTTACAATTCTCACTAGCACCTAAGTAAAATTGAATATAGACGTGTTTAAAACTCCTCTTTCTCTTTCTAGACACACACACACATACACACACTTACCTTTTACTCTCTTGAGATCTTTCAAAAGACTTCTAAAAGTGAAATTCAATTAGTAAAAATAGTCATTGTAGTGGCATTTAGGGCACTCACAATTTGTACAACCACCACATACATCTTGTTCCAAACTATTTTCATCGTACCAGAAGGAAATCCCAGTAGCACTCCCTAATCCTAATCCCTCTTTCCTTCAACTCCGGCAACCACCAGATTGCTTCCTATCCCTATGGATTTACCGTAGATATTCCACATCAGTGGAATCACAGAACATGTGAATGCTGTGTTTGGCTTCTTTACTTAGCATGCTGTTCTCATGATTCATCTACCTGGTAGCATGTTTCAATATAGAAACTTCAGTCGTTTTTATGACTACTATTCCAATACCTGGGTTGTTTCCACTAAATATTTTTATTAACTATTTCTCAGAGAGAAATGATTTCTTACACACATTGAGAAATCTTTTAGAATCTTTGTTTCTTTCTATAAAAAAGAAAACAATTTTTCCACACTAAGAGAACTATTGGAACTGGGAAAGCTTAAAGCCCAAAACTTACTGTTACACATTTTATTGAGTATTTGAGAGACCAGTAAAGATAAGAAGGGATTCTTCAGCAAAGTTTTTCAACATGTTACCTATAGCTGGTCGCATTAAAAATGTTATAGATGAAGCACACATGAAATCAAACGGCCAGTAACCAATAAATCATAATATAGTTTAGATATGAGTGAGACTTAAGTCATGCTATAGAAAGTGTCATTAATATAACTACTGGAGAATCGTTACATTTACCTGCAATGGGTGGCCCCACAGTCATGGGCACAGACATGAATCCAAGCAGAAATCCAATTGCTTGGGAGACGTCCTGGGCACCAACTAATTCAAAGGCAATGGGGGCCATAATGGAAATGAAACATCCATCGAAGAGTCCCATGATGAGACAGACAGCAATGAGGCCCCCAAAGATTTTACACAGGGGGATCATCATGGACATCAGACCGATGAAGACAAAAGAGAGTACCTAGGACAAATACCACAGTGTCAACACTGCTCTCAGGAAAAGTGTATGTTATAGCTGTGAGCAAAGGTAGTTGGGGGACGGGGGTATTAGTGGGGGGAAGAGGTGAGGATCAATTACCGAGCAACATTTTTAGGATATATAAGTGGTTACTCGTTAGTGGGCTCTTTCTACCTCCCCAGCACAGTTCAAATTGATTTTGTATACATGTTGAATTCCTATATTCATTTCCCCTGAATTTTCATAGTGCTTTCCCAACATACCCTTTAAGGGAGAATAAGAACCTAGCTATTTTTTTTAAAGATTTATTTATTTATTCATACAGAACTGGGGTACAGGCCAGAAGTGGCGGAGCGGTGAGAGGATTCACCAGAGAAGGAGTGGGGAGCAGAAGAGGTCAACTCCTGAGGGAAGCAGTGGGTGGGTCAGGAGAGGTCCGCCATGCAGGTCACCTCCAAGGTTGGGATCGAACTCATACTGAATTGGCTTTAGCTTCTTAGTGCTGTGCTTTAACCTGCTGCGCCACCAGGGAGGGCCTGCAAGTAGCTATTTTTATATACTTACTTTCCTTTCCAGCCAGGAAACACTCTGAGGTCAGAATATGTACAGAAGTCATCTTTGGACTAGACATTATAAAGTCTGAGGATTTGCCTTTGAATATCAGCTCAGATGCTTTCAACATTTGAGTTTTAAATTTTCATCTTTGAACTTACATATACTTTGGGTCCTCCCTGGTGCACAATGGATTAAAGTGCAGCACTGTTAAGCTGGCAATGGCAGCTTGGTGCAAGTTCGATCCACATCCCTGAAGTGACCCACATGGTGCAGCAGACCTCTCCTGTCTCACCCACTGCTCCCCTCAGCAGTGTATCTTGACAATCTGCCTATTCTACTCCCCACTCTGACTCTGGTGAATCCTCTCACTGCCCTGGCACCTCTGACCTGTACCCCAGTTCTGTATGAATAAATAAATAAATAATTTTTTAAAATTACTTTATTGGTCATAGTTTTGCAAAATGAAAATAACTAGCAAGATCAGATCTTCACATTATAAAACCTCCAGTTATGAAATACAATGATGTAAGTTTTATATATTTAGAATATACTGCTTGCTACTAATATTCCAAACATGATAAACATATTCAGACCAAGTGAGAGATTAATAATTGACATGCATTATTTAAATATGTACTATATTTTGATTATTCAAATTTCACTTCAATTTTGGCTGTTATAGGAAATACAGGGTGCATAATATTCAATGAAAAATAGGAAATATAATGTAGTGAGAACTAATTTATGTAATCTACTTTGTTGCTTTGACAGTATAAATAAATATGATTATTTTCAAAGAGTACTTTCAACATTACTACATTATATGTATATATTATGTAAATAACCTAGAGATAAGGTTCAAAAATGTTTTGAGCAATTGAATAGTTTCACATTGGTATTTGAGTAGTTAATAAAGTCCAATACATGATTTTGCTTGCTATTTAGTTCTTTCTGTGCTGTGTACTTACTATGTGGAAATGCCTTGTTTCTGCTCTTGGGTTGCAGAAAGATGAGCATGTAGATAAAAATGTGTGCATGAAATGTGTTCTAGGTGTGCCAGAATTGTATATTCAAAGAATGGTAGGTACAATGAAGGAAGATGAGGCAATTCAATAACTTCTTAAGGCAAAAATTTAAGTAAAACTAGACAATTTGCTAGCTAGCAAAAGAAATGTTTCAAAAAGCACCAAGTTTTTGAAAATATGCATATAATAGCAACTATCTATTAAACTAGTTATTTAGTTTAAAATGCCAGGCCAACCTGATCAAGAGGGCACTAATATTTTCATTGTTTTATAGATGAAAATAGTGCTGCTAGGGGAGATTTAGTAACAGATGGAGCCTGCCTGGAACCCAGGTTTGTGTGGGCCAAACAGGGAGTGGATGTTCCCAGAGGGTCCCCTCCAGTGGTGGTGTGGCTGGGAAGAAGAGGAGCCCATTTAGAGCAGCCAGCTGGGTCACCATCTTCACCTGGCCTGTCTCCTACGCCCCACCAGGACCTGCTTATGGCATAGAAAGCTGGGCAACACCCTGGAGGCCAGCCCCTCGTAGCGTTAGTGCGCATCGAGGATCTCCTGAAGTGCATGCAGAGGATAATCGCAGGATGCTCCTTTCACAAGCTCCCCAGGGGGCTTCATTTAACGCAAGTGGACTGAGTCCACAGTAAGAAACATGCTCTTGAAAAAGGTCTCAAACTTCCAGGTTTGACACCATCTTTGACATCATCCAGGCTTTGACACCATCACACTATATAGCTAAGTAAAATATCTTCTCCGTTACTCACATATGCCTTTATGGTAAAATTATTATTAGTTTAAAACTCTTCATTGGCTACCTGAAAAATAAGTTTAGCATTTCACATTTTCTAAAGCATATAATCTCCCCGTTCTCCTGATTTTTAATTTTCTACTTAATAATTTTTCTCTACCCTGACGGCTCTAAAAGCGTGCACATATTTTCTGGCTGTGGGTAACTACTGGGTGTGCATCTGGAAGGTTGAAAAGAACTAGAACTTGGAGGACTGACACTAGGCTCCTTTCTGTGACCTTGCGAAAGTAAAAAAGATTTCCTAATGTTTTCCTCTACACAAAAGAGCTAAAGAGACATCAAAAACTAAACAAGTAGGTAAAGATTTATGACATCATTTCTATTGAAAAACTTATCAGATAAACCACAATATTTCTTATTATAGATACATGTTTACCTACAAGCATAAAGGGAGATAGACATAGAAAGTACCTTGAACATCAGGAACACCACATCTATCATAAACTTGTGAATCTAGAATTGAGGACACTCTGAGGCCAAATCCAGTAACTCTCAAGTGGTAAAACCACAGATCAAACATTCTAAACATATCACAGTAATCACAGAGGTTACCTTTCAGACACACTTTTTTTTCTTTGATTGTATTTCCTATTCTTTCCCTATTTTGTTCAGAAAACCTCTTCCAAAATGAGAGAAACAGACTGTTGAAAGCCCAGAACACTACTTAGCACAGTCAGTTTTGCTCAATAAATTTTTTTTTTTATCAATTTCTGTAACATAGACACAGGCACTTTACTTTTGGTAGTTTTCCTGATTTTTCTCATCAAATTTTTGTTCTCTGCTTGGTTTTGTAAGAAGTCTTTCAAAATTTCAAAATTTTTACCATCTATTGTGAGCTTATTACTTTTAACATTTTGTACCAGACTGCAAGGTTTCTTTTTCTCAATTCAAACTGTTAATTTATAATTTGTTTATCAATAATTTGATAGTAATTGTTATTCTTTTAAATTGCTATATATATATATATATATATATATTAAAGATTTATTTATTAATGCATACAGAACTGGGGTATAGGCCAGAGGTGCAGGGGTGGTGAGAGGATTCACCAGAGACAGAGTGGGGAGCAGAACAGGGCGATTGATGAAGTACACTGCTGAGGGGAGCAGTGGGTGGGTCAGGAAAGATCTGCCGGGCCATGTGGATCTCCTCCAGGGATGGGGATCGAACTCATGCTGAAGTGGCTTTAGCTTCTTAGTGCTGTGTTTTAACCCACTGCACCACTAGGGAGGGCCCTTAAATTGCTATATATTGGACCTTCCCTGGTGACACAACGGGTAAAGAGTGCAGCACTGTAAGCTGGCTGCAGCCACTTCAGTGCAAGTTCAATCCTGCGGGGGGAGGGGTAGTGCAGAGGTGACCACATGGCGTGGCAGACCTCTCCTGACCCGCCCACTGCTCCCCTCAGCGGTGTACTTCGTCGATCTGCCTGTTCTGCTCCCCACTCTGTCTCTAGTGCATCCTCTCACTGCCTCTGCACCTCTGGCCTATACCAGGTGGCCTATACCAGGTGCATATTCTGGCCTATACCAGGTGCATACTATTTCTGTATGCACAAATAAATAAATCTTTTAAAAAATTGCTATATATATTTTTAAAGATTTACTTTTTTATGCTTACTGAACTGGGGTACAGGCCAGAGGTGTGGTGGCTGAGAGGATTTACCAGAGACAGAGTGGGGAGCCGAACAGGCAGACGTACTGAAATACACTGCCGAGAGGAACAGAGGGCAGGTCAGGAGAGGTCTGCCATGCCATGTGGGTCAGCTCCCTGGCCAGGGATCGAAATCGTGCTGCAGTGGTTTTGGAGAGCTTCATAATGTGGTGCTTTAACCCGTTGTGCCACTCGGGAGAGCCCTAAATTGCTTTATTTTAATAACTGTAAAATAAAATTTGTTATTTAAAAGCAAATTTTCTTGTTTTTTCTTGAAGGGTTGAGTTCATAGAAACCTACACATTTATCAGAAAATAACTTCTGCTTCACTTGTAGCTACAGTAGTGTGAAATGATACTCTTCACCAGATGGTTCTACTCATCAAAATGTAGCTAAATCAGGACGTAAGTAGCAGGTGGTGGACATACCTAATCCCTACATGCAGAGGGTACTTGAGCCACCAGAGCAGAGGCCAAGGTTGAGCAAATTGTTCCTCTAAGAGGTTCACTAGTGTCTTACCACATCACAAAATATTCCAAAATATTAACCTGTAGGATAGCAGGCCCCGGTTTGAAAGATGAATAAGTTAGTATTACATACAATCTGTTTTTCCCTCAAACACAGCATAGGTCTGGTTATATTTAAATAAGAGAATCAGATGCCCCTCATTCTCTCTAGACTCTGGCAGTTTAGATATGTTCCTTGCTTTTGTTTTCTTAGAACCACCCAGGAAAATATTTTCTGTCATAATATTAAAAGCTCTAAAAGAATAACTCTCCACTTGAGTTAGTCTACATTTCCAAGAAAAAAGATTTTTTTGCTATTTTCCAGTTGTTTACATTTCTATCACAAAGAAGCATTCTTGGAGAACTGTCATTTTGGGTTTTACTCAGGAATCTAAGTATAGCTCAAAATGAGCTGCATCTGAATAAGCTGAAGGCCTTTCAGTGACAGCCAGACAAATGGCC